GTTGAAATCCTTCTGCGCCCCATGGTATCGCCAGTGCACGAGCGCCCTTTGCGTTGGTTTTGCCACGGCTGCGACCGTGAATTCAGTGAAATGAGCGTTTTTACCACGACTTCAGCGAAATGAGCATTCTTTACCACGATCAAACAAGAGCATGTAACCTAGTACTACTACTTCTTCTTCTTCTACTACTACTACTGCTACACGTACTGCTGCTACTGCTGCTATAATTACTGATGCTACTACCATGAGTAGTACTATTGCTATGACTATGTCAATTGAAAGGGCTCACAATCACGGACCATAAGGTTGAAACACTTCCCCCGTAGTACCCTTGTACCCCATGGAATGAATACCCACCCGACCGGCTTTGTTCCTAAAGGCACTGCTGAGCCTGGAACTTCGGCCAAGCAGGCCACAGGCAAGATCCCAGCTAAGAAACCCACCTGACTCATGTAGGCAATCGCGCCGCCAATGTCCACGGTGCAGAGGGCATCGAAGACGCCAGTGACCTGTTTCAGCTCTGTTCTGTCTTACACGCTCTACTTCTTATAGACAAGTACAGCAGGGGTGGCCAATAATAATATCCTTGTCCAATTGCCTGCTTCTTGATTTCATACTGAGGAGGACTTGCTGTCCTGCTCCAGCAAAAGCCAGACTAACACCTGACTGAAGGGAATCCTTGCTCTTCTGCGAAGATACACCCTACACTTTAACTCTCAACCCCAACCTCCAAAGTGAGCAAGATCCAATTCACATTGAGTGCATGTTGGCAATACTTAGAAGTTTCTCAAAATGGGGGGCCTTTAGGGACCCTAGGAATGTGAGTCTTTCCCGGGTTTTATATACGTATGATTTTGCGACACACCCGCATAAGGGTTATAAGCGCAGTATGGGGGTCTTCGAGGCATCTTGAGGGACCCACCTTGTTGACCGGCCCCTGACGGTTGATTCGGCCGCAGAACCCACTGTTCCTTGTGGGCCAGGGACACTTGGAGAGCGATCTTTGCGGCAAAGCACCACATCCAAAAATGCAGAGAAAGAATCAGAGCCAGCAAGAAACTGATCACACAGGCATTACACATGTAAGCATGCTGATACCAGGAAGACTGTACAAGTGGACATGCTCTGGGTCACACTTAATCTGGTGATATCTGAAAAGCCGGTCATCTTGAAGGACCAGGGTTGGAGCATCGGTTTAGGGGAATTTTCAGGTAGTGACTTATCGGGTAGGTATCCTTGCATAAGGCTTGTGCAAGGCTTACATGGGGAGAGTGGGTTTCACATAGAGAGATACGAGCTATGGGGTCATGATAGTATGTAAGGCTACAAAGCATGAGGTTCGAACACGTACCCTTGACACAGCGCGCAAGTTGCCTTGAAACACCTTTTGGACAACAGCTCACACGGCCCCCAAGCAAAGTGTGCATCTAAAAACTGCAAGGCAAAAAAAAAAAGTAAGAGGTCTGCAATCAGGTGCACTAGTTCATGGGGCTTAATCATCGGGATGGACAAAGAGGGAGGAAAATTACAAGTTTACTTGTAGTCTGACTGACGGACCTTGATCTTCAAGAGTTTGGCATGCCTCTGAGCACGAGAACTGAAGGCTGCGCCTGCCTTTTCCAAGCTTGGAAACCCATCCTCCCCCAAGCTTACATGTTTTAAATCAAGACCCACTGTATAAATAATGTATATATATAGGTCTTGCGCAGATAAGAACTGCAGATGGCAACGAAAAAGTGACTGAGCTTCACCAAGGGAAGGTGATGTGTGATGCTAGGGGAGGAAAGATTCCAGAATTTCAACCAAGCTTCACCGCAGAGTTAATGGAGATTCCCATGTTGGCAATGTTGGACACCACCATACCGACGTTGACCATACACTGCCTCAGCTGCAAGCAGAAAAGTCACAGCTCTAGGGTCCGTCCTTTTTATCTTCCAGGACGCTCGTTGTTGTACATGGCATGACAGAAGATTTACATGCTCTTTGGTTCGTGATTCTTTAAAAGGATCCTTCTCCTTGGCGAGTGTTCTTTTGAGCTTACCCGACTTAGACAGCAATAAGGTACAGCCCGTTTCTACGGTCTACTTGTGCGGCACGCCAGCGCCTGCCGTAAAGCCATTGTACATCGGCAAGATGTAGTATTCACGGCTTGTCCTTTCATTATCCGGCTGACCTAAGTGAAGAAACCTTGAACAACGTGGCCCAGGTGCACGCCAACGCCAATGGCACCCTCACCAACGAGCAGTCGTCGCCCCGCGGCTCCTCGCACGGTCTGATCTCCTGAGATGCATCCAAAAGGTTGGTCACAACCTCACCAAACGTGTTGCCATGAAGCATGAACCCTCTTCCTTGAGATTTGACGGTGCTCAGAACGAAGCTGCTGAAGCCTGCGGACCATGAGTTCCTTCAACTCGATTCATCCTCCACAACAACTACCACTAGTGATCGCCACAACCACTACTTCTTCTGCTACTACTCGTAAACCTACGCTATGACAACTACCACAAATAGTACTGCCAGCACGAGGTGTCGTGATCATGCGCATTGATCACGATAGCGTATCCCGCGCCGTTGCAGCATCTGCGAAGACATACTCATGTGAATAACATGCTGGTGGTTCCAGCATAGAGTCTCGAAGGCTTAAACCTCACCCTCGAACATGAAGTAGGCAAGACATTTCATGTTACTATAGGGATGCATAGGGACATTCCCCAATAATGGGGAAGCAAATCAGCAAGAAAATGGATAATGACTGTGAAATTACAATAGAGGGTTTAGGGTGATATTCCCCTAAACCCCATGAAACCCGACCTACACAACCCTGTATGCCTAAACCCTTCATATCCCTAAATTGCACTAGGGGCGCCCTTTATGAAACCATATACTCCTGTATACCTAATCCTGTATAACTCTATATGCCTAAAATGAAATGGTAGTTTCCCAAAATAGGGGGACCCCAATATAGACCCCAAAATACTATAATCCTTAATATAGGGACCCCCAAAATGGTACCCCTAGTTTTAGGAAACTTTCAAATAAAGGGCGAGGCACCGAGGATACCGACCTGGGTGGTGCTCAGCTCGGGTGGAGTGCCCCTAAGCTGCTTGGCTGCTGCAAGATACCAACGTTTTGAGGGGGGGTACTCTGAGGACATTAGGGATATACGCGGGTCATATAGGGATTATGAGGGGGAGTCCTTACTAGAGACTATCCTGGGACAATGTGTGTCATCTTGAGGGCCAGTAAACTCTATCGAAGGGTTGTTGCGTGTGCTGCTGTCTTTTCGACCTTTTGAACATCCTGAGGACAGGGCCCCACATTCAAACCAAGCTCGACGTTGTGACTTGGAAAATCTCCGATATCATCAGAGCAGGAATGAGCAATCGTGGCGGACTACATCTATATTGGGCTTCAAGAAAGCACTAATCAATCATGTCATGCATGGATGGACGGAAGGAGCTGAGGTGCGACAATCATGGATAAGACGTAATCCTTCCCGTCGCACCCGCCCCTCCGTACGTAACAACACTGTCCATCAAGCCGGTTCAAAAGCGCCCGTGCTCCAGAACAGGCGTCCCATCGGCAAAGGGATTTTGTCTGCTCGAGGTTGGGGTGTGTTGAGCAGAAATTGTGAGTCTGAGTAGGTTTTTAAGCAGGCAGGCCTGCCTTTCAGGTTTGCAGGGCTTGTGCTGAGACACTACAGCATCTTCGATATGCGAAAGTCTCGCGTAATCTTGTATGCCAAGTATTTCCATGATCTGATCTTGGAATTTGATGTTGTGGGTAGGAGGAACTGGAACTTATGCTATAGTAGTTTCCATTTACTTTTCCATTATCCCTATACAACCCCAAGATACTATAGTAGTTTCCATGTTCTTTTCCACTCTCCCTCATCCTTCGGGGTCTAGATGGGTCCACTTTACCTCTTTGGGGGTCCCAATAATAAGGATTATAGTATATTGGGAGGGAACCCTAAACCCTGCTTGTTTTCAGGATCCAGGACACGTGCATGTAGCAGCCGCCAGGGATGCTGTGGCTGCCAACTCGCCCAGCACGGCAACGAGGCCAGTAACCTGAGCACACACCGCTCTCTAGGTTGCGGGTCTATATTGTAATATATTATGGCCTATGATGGTACTCTGTATAGTATATTATACTGAAGGATGAAGGGTCCGGAGTTTAGGGCTTTAAGGGTTTGGGGTGCGGGGTCAGGAGTTTGGGGCTTTAAGGCTTTTTTACGACAGCCATGCGCTACCTATACTCCTTCGGAAATATTGGAAAATCTCGATGTGGCGCGTAGGCGCTGCATGCAGATACCGGCGGAAATCTCTATCTTGCAAAATCTGTTTGAACCCCAGAAAGTCCCTTCGGGACTCTGGGCGGTTGGCGGAGTGGTCGAGGTATGAGTTCAGCACGATTATTGCTTGTTTAGAAACAGTCTCATACCAGTAAGGTCTTGGATGTCCTCTGTGTGCGGATTT